TCCATGTGTTATATGTCCATGTGTTATATGTCCATGTGTTATATGTCCATGTGTTATATGTCCATGTGTTTATGTCCATGTGTTATATGTCCATGTGTTATTTGTCCATGTGTTATATGTCCATGTGTTATATGTCCATGTGTTATTTGTCCATGTGTTTAATGTCCATGTGTTACACATCCAGGTGTGATATGTCCATGTGTTATATGTCCATGTGTGATATGTCCATGTGTTATATGTCCATGCCGTGTATGTCCATGTGTTATATGTCCATGTGCTATATGTCCATGTGCTATACATCCATGTTCTAAATGTCCATGTGTTATACGTCCATGTGTGATATGTCCATGTGTTATATGTCCATGTGCTATATGTCCATGTGTTATACATCCATGTTCTAAATGTCCATGTGTTATACGTCCATGTGTTATACGTCCACTTGTTATATGTCCATCTGTTATACGTCCATGCGTTATACATCCATGCGTTATTTTTCTCCCAGTGTTTTTCCATTTCATTCATCCTGAAGGTATTTCCTCTGATTACGTTTATTGTCTGTCGGCATCATACCCGGCATCGTGGGTTTCACTAGAGGGCAAATTAACTGAACTTCTGAGAATGCAGACTCAAAGTTTTTGGACGAGGCTGTTATTATTTTTATATCACTGCTTCATTGTTTGATAGGCATTACTTAGAAGTTGATGGATGCTAAAGTAGACACAATTGTATGGATAACAACTTCTTTAATATTGTAAAAAGTGAAATTTCAGTATAGATCCATATACCGTTGTCAAGCAAGACATCTATGATCAGCTGATGATGTGCAGTTGGTTGGTTGGTTGGTTGGTTGTTTAACGCTGCACTCAGCAATATTCCTGCTATATGACGGCGGTCTGTAAATAACCGAACCTGGACCAGACAATCCAGTGATTGATATCATGAGCATCAATCCACGCAATTGGGATCGATGACATGCATCAACCAAGTCATCGAGCCTGACCTCCCGATCCCGTTAGTCGCCTTTAACAACAAGCATAGTCGCCTTTTACGGCAAGCATGGGTTGCTGAAGACCTATTCTGCCCCGGATCTTCACTGGTCTATGATGTGTAGTAACAACCCTAGTTCTTATATCTATCAATGCAAAAGTGCATCAATAATTGGATTTTATTAAACTCAAAAATAATTCATACTTCATTCTCTATTGGTACATATTTTAAATTGGATGTAAATTGAGCACAATGAATTGTGAGGTGAGGTGAAATTGGGTTTAACGTCATGTCCAAGATTATTGCACTTATATAGCGACGTGCATGCACGTGTGTGTGCACAATGAATGGTCTACAAACAGCTGCTTATCAACTGTTTGGTCTTATCACATGGAATCAATCCATTATTCAGTCTGAGAATGGTGGCTCCATATAATGTGATCAGTCTGTTCAATATCGACTTTTATATATTATTTATTGTCCCTCACACAGTGTTCGAGTGAATCGGTGGCAGTGCTGAAAAAATAATAATAGGCCATTTATATTGCACATATTTCCACACCACACAGGGACATGCTCAAAGCGCTACTATAACCCCGGTCACTGGATCAGTGTGCACCCAACAATCATTCTCAGCTCCCTGGGGAGTATACAACCCAAGTTGCCTGTTAGGCGCTAGAAGGTTAACAATCACACTGTCATCCCATCCTACCGGGTACCCATTCACTGCTGGGTGAACAGAGGCACATTTAAAACAAAGTCACTTTTCCAAGGGTGGGGCAGGACCGAGGTCCTAGAAACTCTCACGAGCCAAGCTGCCAAACACTGCCACCCATCTAAGGACCCTCCGAGACCGACGTTGCTTAACTTCACCTGATTTGTGACCTGTGCATTGTGCATAGGACCATGTGCCGCCACGCACTGTCAGAATCGGGGTAGTGAGTGAGTGAGTTGGGTTTAACGCCGCTTTTAACATAATTCCAGTTATATCGCAGCATGTCAGCTTAGTGTGGGGGGAAAGCCCGAAGTGATGCAGGTCTCAGACGTTTATCACTTCGGTGAAACCAACGAGCACGGTTATGGTGCTGGCAAACCTAGAAACATAATCAGTTCGAACCAGGATTCGAACCCACAATCATAGGATTCGGGTGTGCCCAAAGGAGGCAACTCTGATCTTATTTTTGTTTGTATATCGTTGATCCTACCGCAGCCTGTGCCAAAACATTTTGTGGCTAATTGCCTGAACTTAGCTCTTAGCGTCATTTTCAGTCTATATTAGCGTATTCATATTGTCTAATATACCACGATATATGCGTTGAACAACATCATTGATATAAATGATAAACAATAATGGTCCCAAGACCGAGGACTGTGATACTTTCACTCTGAGTGAGATACTGTCTGTCCATGATACACAAATCTCATGCTCATACAAGTGAATATATAAATATATCGGACATATTTGATTATCCCTATCAAAGGTCAAAGGCAGATCCAGCATTTTTAAAAGGGAGGTGTCCAAAATTTCCAATCCTCTCTCAGTCAATTTCACTGCCTTAAACATACATTTGGCTTTCAAAAGGATTTTACTTGACTTGGGCTTCAGATTAGTGGCTGAGGTGAGGTGAGGTGAAATGGGGTTTAACGTTGCATCCAAGATTATTGCACTTATATAGCGACGTGCATGTACGTGTGTGTGTTTGTGTGGCTCCTTGTACTAGTCCGGACTGATGCCGATTTATAGTGCTAGCTCACTGAGATACCATGCCGCAGTTTAACATGAATACCCAACTCAGACACAGTATACTGACTCCGAGCCGACCAGTCCTTGTTTTAGCCCCTTAATGCCGAGCGCCAGACAGGGTAACAATCTTTTAACGTCTTTTGGTATGACGCGGCCAGGGATCGAACCCCGGACCTTCCGCTCTCCGGGTGGATGCTCTACCACTAGACCACGGAGGCGGTCGATTAGTGGCTGAAGTCCCAGACTGACATTGTGATTCATATGGTACTATGACTGCCTGCACTGCAGCTAATATACAATTCCTGCCACCTTGCCAGACAGCATGCCACAACAGCATGCCACAACAACCGCTCACATGAACCGCTGGTTCAAATGGGCTGAACATGCAATGCACAAAACAACAAAAGAATGGTTTTCACATAGCCTTTGAAATATGAAAGTATTCATGGCCTACTACTGATTGTTGTGAAAACATGTAGCAATAACACTCGCAAACAGATTATTTCTGCCAGCTATTCAAGCTGTTCAAGGCCATCACCTCCCACTCATGATCCTACTTTAGGGACCGACCATTTGGTATTCAGCGGGGCTGGGATTTTATCAAAGAAAATAAACAGTCCCAGAAAATACATGTTAAAAAAAAAATTTACCACAAAAAAAAACACTGTTGCAAGAGTTTTTAAAAAAAATATATTTAGGCTAACCACCACCACCATGCCCCGCCACGCCCCGACCCCACCCCACCCCGACTTCTCACCCACAAGAATATCTAATGGTGGGTCCCTTAACATGCTTAACCTCTGTTTTATTTTGCTAATTAAGGTTTTACCGGATGTTTAGGTGCGTTGACACCTGTGCATCGGAATTAGAAGCATTCTGTAATTTTGACTTGCTTGCAGCTATGTTTGTTAATGGTAAACAAAATGCAACACATTTCAAATGGTTTTTTCTTGGTCATGTTTACTGCCTAGCAAATGCTCAGCAACACTATTGAATGCAATACACAGAGTCCAAGGAAGAATAGAATGCTCTTCTGTGATTGGCTAGCATATTAATATAAGATATCTATTTATCGATATCAGGATTTTCAAGCAGAAGAATTCTTAATTCAGATCTAATATCATTTTCAAAAGATTGTAGAGAAGTCCGAATGTGCTGGATTGTCAGAATTGTTACTAAAATGGTAATTGTAATTTATGTACCATACAATTTGCGAAATATTCACAAACTTCATGATCAATAACCAGTCTTTGTTAAAAATGTTGCATCGACAATGACACATAGCAAATATAACTACAAGTAGTTTGTCAAACTTAGAATCAGAGGTGCAGGATTTCTGCATCATGTAAAACACAAAGAAAATTCAATGAAAAAGAATGCAAGTCTACCGTGTCCACAAACATCAAATTAACACAAAAACAATATCTACATCACCGAAAAGCACACAAGCAACCGAAACAAAAACTTGCATCAATTTATCATTGCATGAACTAAAACTTGTTTTTAAATCCATATATCCATGATATCTATGATATAAACTATTGTATCGCTGTGTATAAGGCAAGTTTTTCGTACCTAGAATTAGGGGGCTTTCAAGGGGCGTCGTCTTATCATAAGGATGAAGAGTTTTGATGTTTTTTTCCCCAAAACAGACATATTACTGAGAGCATGTAACACCGGAATTACCATGTCAGCAAATCTGTTGCAAACTAATCATGTTATTACACTGTCTGGTCATAAAAAATGTTCATTTTATATCTGGACTATTGTTTGTGATCTATTTTATTCATTTTATTCCAAATTTCATTCAATATAGTTTATATTAATTTCGGCGAAATCGTATGTGAAGTGATCGGAAGATCACACAACACACCATAATTTATAGCAACCACAGTCAGATTACCGCCATTGATGCCTTGAAACGAACTTTAGTGGATAGAGAATGGATATATATATATCATAAATGCCATACATTGACTCGCTGAAAGTCATATTTGTTGTGAGAAACAAACAAATCATATCTGTTGTAGTTTGAAAATTATATGTCAACATATATGTTTAACATATGTTTATAAATGGGGTATATAAATTAGCATCGATTTTGAAGGCTTTTACAGGGGGATTGCCTTACACGTGGAGTCGTTTCATAGATGGCGATATACGGTATGTGAAACAAGATCCGTGCTTACCGTTCGTTCGTTCTGGGATTTAACGTGCGCTTTCCGCATGTAATAAATTACATTTAGCGAATCTCGCACACGGTGCTTACCTCGACCTTGCAGGCCTTTGTGACATCAATGGCCCCCTTTAGTTCTCGCTCGTCACACCCCGTGTAGTACCGCAACTCCTGGGCAGTCAGCACAAACCAGCGCTCCTTCCAACTTGTCAGTCGGTTGCCAAATTTGACCATGTGACCCTGTGGGAACAAGAAAACAGCGTTATCACTATCCCCCGCCATGGAGCACATTAGAATTTTGTTTGTTCATATAGTAGTGAATATTAACTATAAAAAGTCGTTTAAAGCGTTAAAAAGAGATGGCCACTTGGGCTGCTTTACCTCATCAGAAAAACTGATTAAATGTGAAAAAAACACTAAAGGTCCCTTCTCTAGAACAAAATTTCAGTCTTGACAAGTATCTCTAAGATCATCTTCCCAAGGCAAGAGAGTTAACTGACTTTAAAAGTCCAGTTTCCACCCTTGCCAAACTAGGCTGGAATTACTCAGCTCGATCGTAGCGCCACCAGTGGCTATTACCATTTATGTCCCTTCTGAGCCTCTCCTATGGACCAATCAGATTCCACCTCTCATATCACTTGCGTTTGCTTCACACAAAATGGTGGCCCCCGGTTGGGACGATCTGATCGATAATTATGATCTATATTGTGATAAAACGGGTTTACATCGCGAAGTGCATCAAATCACGAAGTGTCTGCAAATGGGGGCAAGTTTTCTCAGAAAAAAATACTGAAGTGAGCTTATCTTAGAGATACTTAGAGACTCTTATTTCACTGATAACAAGCCACAGCATGGTCATGGATAACACTATACAGGATGGAACTGATAATATTTTATCTTTTATTTGTTTTCAGTGACATGCTAGTCTCCGTCACAATTGGGCCAAGGACTCATTACCTTTTCAAAACACCTTTACCTGAGATGTTCATGAATCATGAACTGTTTCAGGTGAGGTGAGGTGAAATTGGGTTAAACGTCGCGTCCAGGATTATTGCACTTATATAGCGATGTGCATGCACGTGTGTGTGTGTGTTTGTGTGTGTGTTTGTGTGTGTGTGTGTGTGTGTGTGTGTGTGTGTGTGTGTGTGTGTGTGTGTGTGTGTGTGTGTGTGTGTGTGTGTGTGTGTGTGTGTGTGTGTGTGTGTGTGTGTGTGGCTGCTTGTACTAGGGCTGGGACGGGTAACTCGGGTAACTTATATAGCGATGTGCATGCACGTGTGTGTGTGTGTGTGTGTGTGTGTGTGTGTGTGTGTGTGTGTGTGTGTGTGGCTGCTTGTACTAGGGCTGGGACGGGTAACTCGGGTACTTGGGTACCCGGGTCGGGTGGGTAGCAAGTAGGACCCCGGGTCCGGTGGGTACTGAGTAGGACCAAGGTACCCACAGGACTACCCGGACCTGTGCTGAGTCAGGTGATATATTGTTTAATGACCAAAATTATCTTGAACTCTATGGTTACACTACAAGCCACTAATGTTCGCATTTCTTTTTGACTATGCACCCATTCCTTCTGATTTTTTCATATGGTTGAATAGAGAAATAACTTAGCGCCAGACAGGGTAACAACAAGTACCATCTTTTAACGTCTTTTGGTATGATGCTCTCAGGGTGGATGCTCTACCACTAGACCACAGAGGTGGTTGAACTGTTTCCATGGTTTCAGGTATTAGGATGCAGATGGTGAGGTAAAATGGGGTTTAACGTTACCATGGTTACAGTCAAGATTATTGTGTTCAAGATTATGTTACATGCATATTTGTATGCTTGGTTGGTTGTTTGTTGTTTTACGCTGCACTCAGCAATATTCCAACTATATGACGGCGGTCTGTAAATAATCAAGTTTAATCCAGTGATTAATATCATGAGCTTCGATCCACGCAATTGGGATCGATGACATGCATCAACCAAGTCAGCGAGCCTGACCACCCGATCCCTTTAGTCGCCTCTTGCGACAAGCATAGCCACCTTTTAGGGCAAGCATGGGTTGCTGAAGACCTATTCTACCCCGGATCTTCAAAGGTGTATTTGTATGCAATAGGGCTGGGACAGGTAACTGGGGTCGGCTGGTCTTAAGTAGGACCCAGGTACCCACAGGACTACCCAAACCCATGGTTAATCATGTGATATATTGTTCAATGACAATAACAATAAAACTCCATGGTTACATAACAAGGCGCTAATGTTTGCATTTCTTTCTGACTATGCACACATTCCTTCCAAATCTTGTCGAGTGAAGTGTTTACTGACGTTTGAGTAAAGATTAAGCTTGAGTCAACTTCTGTGTATTTATGATCAGATCTTTTTTTATGTGTATCTAAATATTTTTTTGCCAGTGCCCTGGTAAAACAGTTCCCAATCGGAAATTTGCAGCTAAATCTTGAGGCCTACACTGGGTTCCTAGGTAGATTCGGGTAATTGGGGGTCGAGTACCTTGGTAGTAATTTTGGACTCATACCAGCCCAAGTGTGCAAGCAATTCTAACTTAACTGTGTAATGGATTTTTTTTAACTGGAGCCCTGCATATTATATTTGAGAAGTACACTGACATGGGTGTTCCTGGTGTGATCATAAAATAGTTGTATATGCAAGGTTTGTTTGTTTGTTTGTTTGTTGTATAACGCCACACTCAGCAATATTCCAGCTATATCATGTATATGACAGCGGTCTGTAAATGATCAAGTCTGGACCAGACCATCCAGTGATTGACATCATGAGCATTGATCCACGCAATTGGGATACGATGACATGCATCAATCAAGTCAGCGAGTCTGACCACCCGATCCCGTTCTTTGCCTCTTACGACAAGCATAGTCGCCTTTTACGGCAAGCATGGGTTGCTGAAGACCCATTCTACCCCGGATCTTCATGGGTCTACTTTAAATGAGGGCCTGTAGACATGGTAGAGTTAAGTCAGTTCCAGCTATAAGATGGCAGTCTGTAAAGAAACAGTTGAACAAATTGGGTGTTATCATTGTGGGTACCGAGTACCGTATTGACTCGGCTTCACTGGTCCAGTGTTCATGACAGACAGACAGGCCATGACAGATGCTCACTTGACTTTCAGGCAGGCGAGCTAAAGTGAGTGGGTATGGTTTTATGCCGCTTTTAGCAATATTCCAGCAATATCACAGCAGGGAACACCAGAAATGGGCTTCACACATTGTACCCATGTTGGGAATCGAACCCGGGTCTTGGGCGTGACGAGCGAACGCTTTAACCACTAGGCTACCTGACCGCCCCCAGGCGAGCTAAAAATGAACACAACTATCTAGCACTAATCCAAGACAAGTGATTATCTATAAGGACCAGTAACTTTCACCATAAAAGTTACATAAACAACAATTCTGATGTGACAAACAGACAAGCTAGATGTCACTCACGGTATCTAACTCTGAAAGAGATACAATTTCCCACTATATGGTTTCCATTTTCAGTCTCAGTCTAGACAATGTAATTAATTAATGTTTGTTTATTTGTTTGTTTAACTTCGCACTCAGCAATATTTCAGCTATATGACAGCGGTCTGTAAATAATAGAGTCTGGACCAAACAATCCAGTGATGACATAAAGAGGCATTAATCCCTGCAATTGGGAAACAATGACAACAACCAAGTCAGCGAGCCTGACCACCCGATCCCATTAGTCGCCTTTTACGACAAGCATAGTCGCCTTTTACGACAAGCATAGTCGCCTCATACAGCAAGCATGGGTTGCTGAAGACCTATTCTCTACCCAGATCTTCACAGGATCTTTATTGTACAACAAAGTTTTATTTCCTTGTCTGTTTCTCTGTTTAACACCACACTTAGCATCATTCAAGCTATAATTTCACTTTAAAAGGGACCTGTGAAGATCCTGGGTAGAATAGGTCTTCAGCAACCCATGCTTGCCGTAAAAGGCGACTATGCTTGTCATAAAGGCGACTGACGGGATCGGGTGGTCAGGCTCGCTGACTTTGTTTACATTTCATCCATCCCAATTGCACGGATTGATGCTCATGTCAATCACTGGATTGTCTTGTCCAGACTCGATTATTTACAGACCGCCGTCATATAGCCAGAATATTGCTGAGTGTGGCGTAAAACAACAAACCAACCAAGTTAAAACAGTATCAGTACAATATGAAAAACGTGAAGTGTGCATACCTTTTTTAGCGTATCTCCAATAATCATATCGTGCACCTCGTGTATCCCCTGTGATAGGTCCATCGCACTCAGATCATGAAAACAAGCCTCTAGTCCATCAAGGAAAGCAGGAAAACCAACCAACTGATCCCCTAGCTGTGGATTATCTCCCTTCCTGGAAAACTCCCGCTTGCGATCGACACACAGCCCCAGGCTTCGGGACATAATACAGCACACATGCTGAGCCTCCTCTACGTCAATTGTCAGTGGAAAAATAACTTTACGGTCATCCTCGCTCACTTCCACACAGAAATTAAACACTTTGACCAGCTTGAATATTTCCTTGTCGTACAACTTCTGCACCTGTCCAGTGTCATTGTTGTTCTTTTTCACGTATTTTGTTTCGCATAGCATCCAGCAGATATTGTCTATTTGTTCCAAGATGTGCGATGTGGAGCTGCTGCTGAGGTTGCCGTTCAGTTGAAACAGTAAGTCGTTTTCGATGACCTCATAGAACTTGGTGAAGGTCAAGGACTGCCGCGATGTTGAGTATTCGATGTTGTCCAGCAGCTCCTCGGCCTTCTCCACATCAAACACCCGGCCGATATTGTTCGTTAACACCTATAAAAACAAACGTTTGATAAGTCAGTTAAAATTGTGGATTTTAAAAGTATACTACTCGAAAGAAGGTAAAGAACACCCTATTTTCTTATGAATATACCGGTAGTTATCCTGTCATGGTCATGACTGATGACCTATTGTCAAATGTTTTGTTTGTTTGTTTGTTTGTTTGTTTGTTTGTTGTTCAACGTCGCACTCAGCAATATTCCAGCTATATGACAGAGGTCTGTAAATAATCAAGTCTGGGCCAGACCATCCAGTGATTGACATAATGAGCATCTATCCACGTAATTGGGGTACGATGTCGCATCATTCAAGTCAGCGAGCCTGACCACCCGATCCCGTAAGTCTCTTACGACAAGCATAGTCGCCTTTTACGGCAAGCATGGGTTGTTGAAGATCTATTTTAAATGAGGGCCAGTTGAGTTTAGTCAGGGCCTGCAGCTAAAGTCTGTAGGTCCTGATGGAAGCCTGGCAAATATATACATGTATATAAAAACTGTGAACATTTTGTCTCATGAATCTGTATATGTCTGTGTCCACAAAATACAAAAGCAAAAAACTATGCCGATTCTTTTTTCAAACAACCTGAATAGAAACTTGAAGCTTAACATTTTCCATTTGGTATGAAATAGCTTCAGACACGATCAAATGAATATTTAATTGTTCATGTGTACATGTCATCTGACTACTGCATACAAACTTGCAAGACATAAATATCTTCAGGCATGATCATTGATGCAATCAAATGATTGGTTGTTGTTTGTTGTTTGTTGTATAACGCTGCACTCAGCAATATTCCAGTTATATTCAACAACAAAGATTTATAGGGTACTTTATTTGTTGGTCCAGGGATGGAAAATCACATGAATTAACAGTCCAATTCTAATTTTATCAGTAACAAAATGGTAATTACCGGAAAAACACATTATTGGTTGGAGCAATTTAGAGAGGTTTCAGCTTCATTGGTCCAATGGTTCCTGGGAATATGATTATGGCGGACAACACGGGGTACGGGTGGCCCAGTCGTCTAAGGCGCCGCGATTCGCTGTGCAGAGTTGCGTCCCTTGAGCACGCCAGAAACTTATGATTGTGGGTTCGAATACCGGTTCGCCCAGATTATGTTTCTAGGTTTGTCAGCACCATACCCGTGCTCGTGGGTTTCACCGAAGTGGTAAACGTCTGAGACCTGCATCACTTCAGGCCTTCCTCCCACATTAAACTGACACGCCGTGATATAACTGGAATACTGTTAAAAGTGCCGTTAAACCCAACTCACTCACTCAATCACTCACTCAAACACTCACTCACAGACAACAGATGATAAACAATGCAGAACCACAAAATAATCGTACTAGACTCTCTGCCAGGTGAGCTAAAAGTGTCAGACATTAGCTATGATGACATCTGTGAAAGTATCGAGTGATTGAAAATATATTTGGGAACAGTTCTGCATCATTAACCCAGAGCTCCAGATAAGCTGCGTATCTGCGTAAAATACGCGTCAGAAATGCAGAAATACGCAGTAAAATAAAATCCAAGCGTATCAAATACGCAACGAACATTACAGATACGCTACAAAAATAAAACTTGTGCGTATCATCAAAATATTGTGAAGTAACCCTGCGTATTCGATTCGCAAATCAGCAACTTATTTTGAAATTATAAACGGGCATTCCATCAACCCTGTCAAACTCCACGATGATAGTTACATCATGATCATTTGCCATCACACGTTCTTGTGGAAGTATCGTGGTATTTTTGAATCCTACAAAGCTCTCGAACCCACACAACACCAGTTTGCAGGGACTAGATGAATAGTGTTTTTAAATATTTAACTTAAATACCCACATGTGCAAAAACTAGTGGGTAACAGAAATTTGAAATTTGAATACCCAGATAGAATTACTGATACCCAATGATTTTAAAATGCATGCGTAAAATACCCACAACACCAAAAGCTTATCTGGAGCTCTGATTAACCATACAGTTTCCCTGACCACCAGGATGTCCGTCTCACTACTGTATCAAGTATCCTGCATGCAATACATCTGCCATTATCCACACTTGACTGCACAGATTTACTGGTATTCTGGTTTATTACCCACAAGGAAACATATCCTGGTTCATAAAAATCATATGCATCCTAGGGTCATATCACATCACGAGAGGGGCGGTCGGGTAGCCTGGTGGTTGAAGCGGTTGGTCGTCATGGGGAAGACCCTGGTTCGATTCCCGGGTACAATGTGTGAAGCCCATTTCTAGTGTCCTGCGCCGTGATATTGCTGGAATATTGCCAAAAGCGGCGTAAAACCATACTCACTCACTCACTCACGCAACAGTGTATTGTTTCCGTCATCCAGACAGCATTGTTGACATCATTCAAATCTTAGTGTGACGTGAGGTCGGAATGACGTCGCACAAGAAACGATGTCATAGCTGTTGACGTCATTCTACAAATTGTGGTTCCGCTGCTGTTGCAACTTGCTGTCCTTATAGTTAAACACTAAAATTTGCCTCTGTATGTAGACATCTTTTTTTGCAATAAATAGAACATTATACATCTATGTATGTAATACACCTTTCATACGATACGTATGGCAGTATTTCATCTGTTCCGGTATATAGGGTAAAGAAAAATTTGTTATTATTTGTATCGTTTAACCTAAAATCTTTCATTCACAAATGATGTTTCACTTCGAAATTGACAATACGACAGAAACGCAGTCGTGAGTTTTTCTCTCACATTGTTGAAACCTCCCTGCATCTATGATTACAAACTGGTGGCAACTGACCATGCCGAGTAATATGAGTAATATTTACGTTAGTATGAAGAAAATAGCATCTGTATGTACAATCAGTTTTATATATATATATTAAGGAGATAAACATACTGTGTTCAATGTAGAGCTAGGTTACCTGTAGATTTAACCCCGCTAAATTGAATTTGGAACCGAACGCTCCACTTTGAAGCTTGACAAGTAGTCTTGTTATTATATAATAATTTTGACTGTTCCAAAATCATGAAAGGTCCCATCCTGACATGCTTCAAGCCTTGAAATTCAATATATGCTTGAGTACTGGAGTAATCTTTTTTTATCATTGCGTATCGCGATACGTATCGTATCGTGACCAGAATATCGAGATACGTATCGTATCGTGACCTTCCTGTATCGTTGCAGCCCTAGTTATTGCAATAGTTTCTTTCAATATCAATAGTTATCGCAATAGTGATTTCCAGACCAATAGTCACCCCTACCTCGTAGATTCTAAAGTGACTGTTTTGCATTATTTCAACTGAATCAAGATGCGATTTGTCTCTTATTTTTTGTGATTTTCCAAATTTATAATGTCTGAATGCGGGCAGGTAACTTTAAAGATGGACAGGCAACATTTATGGATCATCTGCCCGACTGTCTTGTTGGGTTTTAAAATTATTTCAAACACTGCAAGTAAAACCCTAGACCTTTACATCCTTAAGCTGCAAGCTCTTGGCCCACCATTAACCTGCTTGGAGAACATGTATTAGTCAGTCAGTCTAAGCAGCTCTTGTTTACACAGACTTTGCCTAATGCTAATACCCTCTTACAAGACTTACATCTACACACACACACAAGTAAAGGAAGTGACCTTTGACCTTCACTGATCCTGTCCCGAGTAAGACTGGAGAATTTATTTTTTCTTCCGTCTACAAAACATAGCTTGGGATGTTAAAATCTTAGGAGTTTTTTCCCTAAGGTTAAATGAAAGTGCTTAGGTTCATAGATAAACACCTCAATTACACACGAATGGCCGTTAATTTCTCAAACTGTTTCTGCATTTACATTTATAAGGTTTGAGACAATTAAAAAATTTCATATCTGATTTTTTTATTGATAAATATATCCATGGATTAACCTATAGGTATGCTTATAAATCTGTCCCCAGCACTGAGGAAATATACAGAGCTCCATATACGCTGTGAACTTGTGTAAAAATACGCAAAATAAATCATCATAAACCAATTAATTTGGAGCTGCGTGCATAAAAACATGCTGATCAATTTCAAAACTTTACTAGTGTAACAACTCATTGCATAATTACCCAAAGTTGTCTTTTCAGCTTGCAAACCCGAGTACATTTACGCTGGTTAAAAAATACAAAGTCCAAAATAAAGGTCAAAAGTATGCAATATAATAGTCAAATGTTACGAAAAGACGTCATAATGAAAAGAAAAAATAATGTGTATTATAAACCTATTCATTGGGATCGCTATTAAGTAAGAGACTTCTTTCGGTTTTACTTTCCAGTCGGGTTAAATCTCATAAACATAAATAAATAAATAAATCTCATGTCCCTGGGATTTTATATAATATCCCAGAGATATTATATAATATCCCAGGGATTTTATATAATGTCCTGGGTATTTTATTAATATAACTTCCGTTCAGATTGTAACATGTAATGAAATGTAAAATCAAATGACAAATGTTTTCTTTATATTCCCGAGGATCGAACTCGCAACTTTCATATCTGTAGCCCAGTGAGTGTACCACGAGGCTACAGAGGTGTTGATAAGCCTCACTGGTTTTTAGAATGTCCTTTTCAAGATCCGTACGCCAGCAACAGATATTTTACGCACGTTTCCTAAGATTCATGGAAGGTATGTTCGAAACATAAAAATGTTGATAAATGTTGTTTTAAGTTTCTTTTTTCGGTTTATAAGCATGGAAAAACTCTTTCCCTCGGTTTTGGTAGACAGAGCATGCCCTGGGGGTCGGGAAAAAACGCGGGAGCTTCGCCCCCTTGGTTTTTCCCTCTCCCCAGGGCATGCTCTGTCTACCAAAACCTTGTGAGCATGTTTTCTCCAATACATAAAGAACGTCAGTACGCACGAAAGGATCCTAAGCTGCTAAAGGACGTTGACAATAAAGAATGCCAGATGGTGCTGCAATTCGTAAAACATTCTGAGTTTTGTAAATTAGCTTGTTCTCGCACAACATTCACTTTTCCGATGTTAT